CTATGATTTTTCCTAGTCTGCAATGTGAACCAATGGAGAAAGTTAGTATGAGTTTTAGGTGATATATTAAGTAGTTATATCAGTCTCTTTTAAAGTTTCAGTCCCTTGTAAAGCAATGCTTACATGCTTATCCTGGTTTCATGCCCATCCAGAAAAATGTATTATTTCATGAAGGTGGCCTAGTTTCCTATGAACCCAGGAAATTTTTGTGCACAATTCAAACTGCTGGTTTTAAACCTGTAAAAGTCCTGTATGGTTTGATGACCATTTATTTCATCCACATTCAATCATTTATTTCTTCTACATTCAATCATTTATTTCATCCACATTCAATCAATGTGCAGATGCCCTTTATAAATGGGACAAAATCCCGTCATTGAATTGTGACTGTGGCAGTGGTGGATTCCTACCAGTTCAGCCGAACTGGCAGTGACCCAGGCCTGCCATGCCCCTGAACCAGTTCTCCGGATGGCACCATAGGCACAGCCATCTTGTTTTTTGCTTCTGCGCATGCACAGAGCAATTTTTATTGCTTTGCACATGCGCACAAAGTGTGCATCAAGCGTGCACGCCTGCAGCGCATCCACAAGCAAATTAGCAATAGAGACTGCCGGAACCCACCCCTGGACTGTGGGACCGAAAAAACTACCCAACCCATACTGACAGAGTCTCAAAACAGAGCCAATAATGGAGATTTCGCTGATTCCCTGGCTGTGACAAATGAAGTAAAAAAATTATATTTGTAACTTAAATATATATTTGTAATTTTCCTGTTAAAATATTTTATATTTTATATTCTGTATTTCTTATTTTACCCTTGTGTTCCTTTTTACTGAAGTACCCTTCAGTAATTTGTTCTGGAAGAGGCAAGGAATACTAAAACCAATGAGTACTGAGAAAACCACATGACTTACCATGCGACCTGCTATTCTGGCTGGAAGAAATAGTGAGTCATGAAGCTTCCTTGTACGTCAGTTACTGGGAGAAAGACAAGTGCTAGGACAAGATTTCTGCTTCAAAACATGCTGAATACCGAATTCGATGAGTTTTGAAGTAGTCGAGTGCCAAGATACGACTGTATGATCTGAAAGTGCCATATGATAAAATAAATAAATACATCTGCACTAAATTCTTCTGAAACAAGTCACAGGTAGTCTCCAACTTACAACCCCAATGGAGCTCAAAATTTATGTTCTTGAAACATTTATTAAGTGTGTTTTGTCCCATTTTATGATATTTCTTGCCGTAGTTGTTAAGTGAATCACCGCAATTGATAAGTTAGTGCCACGGTTGTTAAGTGAATCTGGCTTTCCCATTGATTTTGCTTCTCAAAAGGTGATCACAGGACCTTGGGACACAGCAATGGTCATAAAGTATGAACCAGTTGCCAAGCATCTGAATTTTGATCACATGATCATGGGGTGGCTACAAAGGTCGTAAGTGTGAAAAATGGCCATTATAACTTTGAACGATCACTAAATGAACTGTTGTAAGCCGAGGACTACCTGAATATGAGGAAAAATGTTGATGGTCCCCTACTCTAGCAAAATGGAGGTGGACAAGGCTAGAAAAAATCCTCTATGGTGGCCCCCTTTTATGGAATAGATTTTTACAGAAAGTTTGGCTTGACCATCTCTGCTGGTTTTCCAGAATTTGACAAAAACGGAGCTGTTCTGGAAGGCTTTTAATTAAGTAATATAAAAATGGATTTGCTAATTGTTACTGGAATACTCTTGTGATTTTAATGGATTTTTAAATGGATTTTCTCTTTTAACTAATATTGTTTTTATTATATTTTTTCCTGTAAACCACCAAGTGTCTTAAGATTATAGCATCTAAAAATCTAATACATATTTTAAAAATCCATAGGACTTTATTGAATCAAAAGCAGTTCAGTGCACTCTTTTCCCTCTTCATCTCACTAAGTAAATCTAGAGGATTTGAATGTGGAGAAACAGTTGGTTTTTAATGAAAGCAGATATTTTTCAGTCTTATTTTATATCAAAGCCAAAGAAATCCAAACACAATCTCAAAATAAACTTAATAAATGCCATGCTTTTTACAAAATGAATCAGATGACTCAAGCCCCAGGGAGGCTGTATCTAATATTGTTGAATGATCACACCAAGAAACCAATAGTTGGCTTGCCACATCTAGGCTTAAATGAGAAAATTAAAAGTCTGAGGTAGAGGGAGAGCAACCCCCAAATTACAATCTGTTGCATCATATCTTGGAGACCAAAGAGAATGACGTCCATATGCTGGAAAAAGAAAGATTTCTATTGCTCCTATAGCTACACTGCGCTATCAGTGAAACTTTCTGTTGTCTGGTGGGTAAAGAGAAGTAAGCTGTGTTCAGAATTTGCAAAACAAGTCTTAACTCATGAAACAATGAGTCCTTTCCCCAATGGAAGGCATGACATTGAACAAGATTGGATACAAAAGTTAGATTTTCTTTTATATGAATCTGATTCATATGATTTCACTGGAAGAGGGGCCAATATTTTGAAGCTGTTTGGGAGACCTGAAAATATGGATTTTCACAATCTCAGCCCTACAATATAGTTCAAGGAGAGACAGGAAAGCCATATTTAAGCATGTTTGTGAACTGTCCAGTTGGGTTTCTTGTATGCAGAGTGATCTTGGCTCCCATGTATTCTGCTATAGGTAATAATGGGGCCTCACAGAATTGTTTGTTCATTCAACACTGTCAGGGGACTGTAAATAGGAACCAGTGCTAAAAAGCATCAACCCATTTGGCTTCTATTTGTATCAGCTCTCTTAGAGCCCCTTAATCTAATTTCCATATACACACTGAAATTATTTGCAGGTACAGCCTACATTTGATTAATAAGATAATGGTTACAATAAGAACAATTATGTTCGGAAGATTACTTAGCTCTTCAGAGGTACAAGAGCCAAGGAATATATCTCTTCCTAATTATTCTTGGAATAATTCTTTCAACTTTTTGTGGGGTAGGGAGAGTGTCTCTCATCCACTGTAAAATAGAAATAACAGGCTATAAGGATTGTACTAGAGAGAAAGAAAAGCTAATTTTCATTCTAAGATCATCTAAAAAAAGGCTGCAGTTGCTGCAGTTGGACTGTCTTTGAACACCTTACAGAAACTTCAATTCAGGACACAGCTGGAGGATTGTTACATAAGATGTACATGCAACAGGTACATGAAGAGGCATCATAAAAGTCTGAGGGCTTTTCTGAGGCTGGCAGCCGCATCTCAGTTGTAGAAAATAAAGCATCTGGTGCTCAAAATATGATCCTGATTACTTTTAAGTTGGGCTTGGAAAAAGAATAGTTTAGGTGTCCAATCTTGGCAACTTCAAGACTTGTGGACTTCAACTCCCAGAGTTCCACAGCCGGGAGTTGAAGTTCACAAGTCTTAAAGTTGTCAAGGTTGGACATCTCTGGTTTAAACCTTAAGGAGACAGGAAATTGTCTGAATTGGAAAAAGGCAATTACTTGGTTTGAGAGGGAGCACTGTTTTATCCTTGTGCTCTTGATGTTGTGTAAAAACAAAACACCCTGTTGGATAACATCAGATAGACCTGCATCCTATCTCTTACAGTGATCAACCATGGCCGTGGAAAGCATAAATGAGATATTTTCCTCAGAAACTGTCATGGTACCAGCTGGACCAATTCATCTTCTTTAGAGCCCAGCCAGGTCAAGAAACTGGCAAGTCAGAAATCACAGTTACAAGTTCCAGTACCAGCAGGGAAAGACTGATTACAGACTCCTTTATTCTTCATTCTCATGGAGAAGTCTCAGATCAAGAAGATGTTTATCTGATCTCAGCAACATTGGTAGCAATGGAGAAAAGCCAGAAATTAGCCATCTAAAGGAGTGGTCACTGGCAGCAAAAAGCTTTTCAACAGCTGAAGCTTTTCAGAATTGGCTGTAGCAAGTCAAAGCTGCATCTATCTTTGTGATTTTTCTACTTGGACCTCTTGAACCTGGATGCAGATTATGGAGTGCAATGGAAATCAAAGACTAAGGATTGATTTATAGCTTTGTGGCCAGATATGGTAATAAAGGACTTGTATGCATCACTAAATAATTTAAAAAGCAAGTTCTACTGTTTAAATATTGTTTGATGCATTTCATTTGTCTTTAATGTTTAATGTTTAATGTTTATTATAATTTATAGGCCGCCCTTTTCCCTGAGGGGACTCAGGG